TCCAAAAATAAGTACTAGTCCTGCAAACAGATATGCAGGTTGACTCAGCTACAAGACTCAATCCTTCACACAAAACTCAAACAAAACAGTAATTTGTAAATTCCGTCAAAAATTTAACACTGATGACAAAAGCTAACTCATGAAAAATCATATTTCTCTTAATTCCTTAAATGAAAATAACAACTTCTACTATTTTTTCTGAAAGCAATCCCATTGGCACTACTACTTTAAACAGTAAAAAAAAGTGAAAATAAATTTCTTTGAACCAGAGTTTTATTTTCTCAAATAAAATAAGATCCTGGAAAATCCTATGCTCTCCAAATAATGTATCTGTCAGTATCTGACTGACAAAACATTTAACTGTGTCCAGCTTTCTCTCACAACATTGTAGTAAACATTATACAATACATAAAAACTATTAAATGCACAGTTAAAAATCAGATTACAATCTTATTCCATCAAAAAATAAGGGGATGGGGCAGTATTAGCAAGTTTCTACACTCTCATACTGTATCATGATTTTCACTAACTTGGTATGTTATTCCTATAAATTTTAAAGATAAAAGCAGAAACATACCTGTTTTTGATGTCAAGAATTACTTAGACCACTGGTTCCCAACTGAATTTTTGCTGTATTCACAGAACTTAGACCAAATAAAGCTAAGCAGTAAGCATATGTCCTCGCATAGAGGCTGCATGTAACATTGCTGGTCCCTGCCTGTGACCAGTTTGGCTATACTTGAGAATCTCAGATTTCATTTTAGCTAAGGGGAAAAAACAACAACAACAAATCTGTAAACAAATAATTATTTAATTTCTGCTACTAGCATCAAACAACAGATACTTCTTTTAGCAGAAAACTGTATGAAATGAGCTATTCTTGCACAGTACGTAAAACAGGTCTTAGTCTCCACACTTTTACATCACAGAAATTTTTCGTAATTCCTGCTATCTTTGTTACTCACCCCTCTGACTGAGAAAAGAGCTTTGTACTTTACATTACTGTATATGTGTCTTTGTCAAAAAAACAGGAGCTTAACACTCAGGAGTCATAAGCTGTTTTCATCTTAGGGGCTGCTGAGTAGCAAAGCTAGATGTAATTTTATTTCTAGCAACAAAAACATAAACATTACATTGAAGTAATTGTTTTACAGTATTTCACATACAAATTAGCTAAACTGAAATATCTAATTCTGAAAGAAGTCGAGGGCAAAAGATTTACTGTGATTTTAGCTGTTACATCTCCAGAGGTAATCTGACTTTACTCAAATAATAAGTGACAGAAATAAGCTTTGTCTCTACCATTTATGAATATCTGTTGTTTATAGTAAATCCTTGGGGAAAAAAAAAACACTGAAATAAAATATTATGCCTGGTACTCTGTGGCAATATACATGAAAAAACAAAAAAAGAGAATAACAATGGACTAACATGCAAGTGGAAGATGTGGATCCAGAAATTAGCATCGTTCCATTAAAGAAAACTGAACTCTTTTGATTATCCTAGTTGACAATCTGTCCATTACCTTGCTGCCTCAAGGAGTATCAGAGATAAACTGTGTACTAAAATGACCAATTTTTCTTCAATAGTCTGTAAAAACATAGAACACTACCTATACTTCAAAAAAAAAAAACCCTGCAAAATCAGGTAGAAAAGAAAAAACATACAGTGAAAATATGCAGTAGGATAATTTAACAGAATATGCTCCTATCTAAACTTGGACTCACATTTAAATATTGTTTCTGGTTTTTAGTACAAAAAGAGACATCTGTCTGTATTTCCAGAGACGGAGAGTTTTCATCTAAAAGAGGACAAAATAATAAAACCTTCTGGCTACAAATAGGATTTGCCAAACCTGCAGTAGAGCTGTGGTATCTGTTTTATATATACTCACTGAACTTCGTAATGTAACACAGAGTCAGTTCACAGCCAAGTGAGAGTGCAAGAAGGCTGTCAGCCAAGATCTCAGGTCCCTCAGTGCCAAAACTTAAATAAGGAAGACAACATAAGGCAAAACAAGGGTGTCCTAGAACAGTACTTTATACGCTCAAATCAGTAATATTCACCAACTTAAAGACTTTTAGAAAAACTGACGTTCAGAAACGTCACCGATCCTGAATAACAGGTCCGTTTCCAGAAGTGCTAAGCAGCTGAGCACTCCCAGGGAACCCACACGCGCTGCTGGTTGCTCAGCACCTTTGAAAAATCAGGCCACTCATTTAAGAATCTAAATACGGACCTGGAAACCTACATTTAGATTCCTATTTACTATCCTTCATGCTTTTGGTTTCTGTTCATGAAGCACTTTAGCACTTTTCAGCACAACTCCTTTAAAAATTAAGATAGTTTCTCTCCCCAGTTAATACTTATTTTTTAATGTCAGGACAGCAGGAGTTTCTAAGCAAGTTTATATTACTTTTTTGCTAAGATCTTGTGAGACATTCACACCCAAATCTATTTTACCTGTACACCCCTTCCATCAGTAACAAAATGGGAAAAAAAACAAGGGCATAAATCAAACGAAAGCCTAATCTGGCTCCAGTGCTCATCAGAAGAGTTTTTGATAGTGAGAAGTACAGGAGATCATCTCCCAGTGACATTTCATACTTGAACACATATTTCTATATTGGGGACAAGTTTTCAAATTTAGTATCTTAGTAACACTTCCAAACTTTGAAGCTAATTGAAAATTTTCTTTCAGAATACTCTTCCATTGAAGAGTATCAATGAACCAATAAGATTGCAACTAGTTCTCATGAATCCTCATTTTGCAAAACTGTTCAATGGACAATGTTCTAAATGGTTGGTTTAAAGCTATGCTGAAGTGTTTTATCACAAGAAATAGCTTCAACATTAAATAAAGTACATTGAACATATTGAGACATAACTTTTGATAAATCTTTAGTTTTTGGAATACAGTATCGCTCAGAATTTTATTTCTGGAGAACTCAAGAGTATACAACAGACATGTGGCCATCTGGCTGGGCTTGCTACACAAGTGACTGTACTTCAGTGGCAAATGAAGAGATTCCTGTAAACAACACTGCATGCTGCTCGAACACCCTGTACAAAAAACAAAGCGTATATTGTTTATCTTGGGTTCAGATAGCATCTTATAAACACAGCTTGGGGAACTGATAAATAATCCCACCCATCCTTTTTTGTATCATCTGTGATTCAGGGCTTCTCAAAGAAGCAAGTTTTTGTTTTATTGTACTCAGGAAAAGGAAAGGAAAAGCTCACCCTACTGATGACTGCAAAATAAAACTTAAGAATTTGTCTAAGGACAGCTTCACTGTACTATTAAAGTCTCCAATCTTGCACATTCTTTGCCATACAAAGCGTTCATAATCCACATAAACAAGTTCACTGTCATCAGTGAGACCAACTATGACAGCAAGAATTCTTCAACCAGGCAGAGCTGTGCAGAATCAGGCCCTAACTTTTTAAGCCACATTCACTCTCTTCGCAGTGCTACAGAATCTAAATATAGTTTCCTTGACCGGTGTGGAAACGGTTCTTTTACCTGAACAATTCCACCTATTACTCCTTGCTTCCACTGTGGGTTTATAGCATGCAGCATGAGAAATTTAAAAAAAATGAAATACTTCTTGTCTCTCTTCAGCCATGGAAACTCAGCTGGGAACCCGCAAAAATGTTTATAAATACAGCATATGTCGCACCCATTCATTTCTATAGAGCACAGTCCTCATCTTTATATGACAAGAACATAAACAAGCATTAAAACAACACCACCACCACCACCCTACCCCAGCAATCCTTTAACAGAATTTCCAAGAACTGGCTTTATTTCAAGCGTTTGAGTGAAGGGAGTATTTTTGGGAATCTCATCACTGCACTGTAATTCTAGCAGAGCTGCAATGCCAGAAGTCACTGAACCACTAGGACTGTGCCAAGGTACGTAACCAAAAATTGTTTTATAACCACTGAAATTTCCAACATCCCTGTGCTCAGCATTTTCATTCTATCATACAAGCCTGTAAAATACTCAATTCAAGGGCATGTTCAAGAGCATGTAAAACATCACTTTTTTCAGGGCATTGTACAAATATTAAATGTTACAAAAGCCTACAAAGTAGCGTAGGAATAACACTCATTTTGTTTGTGCAGAAATTGAACTACACAGATTAAGGCCCTGATCTAGCACAACACACACATACTTAAATATTATGAACAGCAGTAAATGGGATTATGTGTGTTCAAAATTAAGCACAGATTAAAGGGTTGGTTGACTGAGTAACTGGCCCAAACAATCTGAACTAAATCAATGGTAGCATCAGGATTAAACCTTGAAAGCGCATGCTTCCTCCTGCTGTTTTTGGTTCATTTATCAACCTGCCGGGTTAAAAATGGCTTGTGGCACCACCTGCAAAATGTAGCTAATAATTTAGCACTTGTTCCTTTATCCATCCCTCCTAAAAAATATGTTATAAATCAAACTCAGTTCTTGCTCCTCCTCACTACCTAGATGAGGAAGGGTTTTCCTGTCCCCCTTTCTAGTTACGCATCTCTTTGAGGCACTAAACTGCACCCGTTCTGCTTTCAGTGCCCAGGTGCTCAGCGCAGGGCACATCACCAAGGACAGCCAGTAAAGCAAGCGCTTTTTGCCATCACTGGCAGGGCAGTTTTTTTTAAAAGCTGCAGAAAGCTCAAAGGAAAATTCAAAAAACACCCTTAGAAACAAGGGGAGACCCCCTTTGGGGTGCTGCATGGGAAAAACCCACAATGCATGCTACCTGTTGATGTTTTTTATTCAACTAAAACACAAAGTGCAGATTCATGAAGCATTACACTAAGAACTTATGATAAAAAAAAAAAAAATTACTGCCAACCAAGCTCTCTCTTGCATCACCAGCGCCACTGCCACCAACCAGATACAGACTTTGTGTACATCGCTGTCCCACTTCCCCTAAAATCTCTTCGCTGGAGGAAAAGGAGACCTCAATCACATGCAAAAAGTATTAGCCAGCAAGACCTACCTGTACAGCACCCATCCTTGGGATTTGATTTGCTGTGACACAAGCCAGGAAACAGCCTGCAGGTGGTCTGCTCTTGCAAGCCGGCAGCCTGCTGCGCAGCC